GCCAAGAAGGAAAAGATTCCCCCTATTGTGATAACCACTACCGATTTCCATGCTCTTCGCTTGGAACTTTTGAATTTCGTGAAAGTTAAGTTTTCACTACAAATTGGACGTCGGGGTGAATGCCGTGTATTGGCTGAAACCTTGGACGGATTTAAATGTCTTCTCAAGTATCTTACTGAGAAGAAGCACAAATTTTTTACTTACGACACCAAAACTGAACGTGTGTTCAAGGTTGTCATGAAAGGACTGCCCAGTGGTGAATCCCTGGATCAGATCAAAGATGAACTGGCAAAATTACTTGGAGTTGTGCCACTCCAAGTAATCAAAATGAAAATGAAATCCCGTCCTGGCGATTCGCGCAACGGGATTTCTAATGATTTTTATTTAGTTCACTTCAAGTCTAGTGAACTAAACAACCTTAAGGCCTTAGAAAAAGCTAGCCTTATGCTCCATGTCCGAGTGAAGTGGGAACACTTCAGGAAGACTGGAGGAAATTTCCAAAACCTCACCCAGTGCCGTAAGTGCCAGGGATGGGGTCACGGAACTAAAAATTGCTACATGCCAGCTAAATGCATGAATTGTGGTGATTCCTCTCACGCAAAGGACGACTGTCCTGTGAAGGAAGATCCTAAGAAATTTAAATGTTCAAATTGTGGTGAAAACCACAAATCCAATTTTTGGGAATGTAAGACTCGCAAAGCGATCCTACAATCTCGTTCTAACCGTCAGGTAGGAAACACTCCACGTTTCCGACCAGGTACAAATTCCTCTGCTGTTAACAACGGTCAGCGAGGAACAAATTCTACATTCGTACCCGTAGGTACAAATATCTCCCCTGCTTCAAATGTTTCATCTGTACCTACTCCCCTCGCTGCTAACAATGTTCAGCGAGTTAATGGAGCTACCTATGCTGCTATTGCAGCGGGTAGAAATCAAAATACTAACCAACGTTCTAACGGAAATTTTGACAATTTTGACTTAGGAAGCATTACTGCCCCCAAAATGGAATTTTTACAGAATTCATTAATTGACATGATTTCTGATATGCTTAAATCTAACTCCATGTTTGATGCTATTCAAACTGGAGTAAAATTTGCAAATAATATTGTCATGACTTTAAAATTCAGTAATGGATTTTAAAGCATTAAATATTGTAAATTGGAATGCTCGATCTCTTAAAGATAATGAAGACGAGCTTTTTAACTTTTTGAGAGTTCATAACGTGCATATTGCCGTTATAACTGAAACGTTCCTTAAACCTGCCCATAAGGTTAAGAAGGACGCAAATTACTTGATTTATAGAAATGATCGTCTTGATGGACCCTGTGGTGGCGTTGCCATCATTATTCATAGACGAATCAAACATAAAATTCTTTCTTCATTTGAAACCAAAGTTTTTGAAACTTTGGGAGTTTCTGTTGAAACAAAATTTGGACAACTTACGTTTATAGCTGCCTATTTGCCATTCCAATGCGTAGGCCAGCAAAAGAATTTTCTCAAGGGTGACCTCCAGAAACTTACCCGTCATAGGTCTAAATTCTTCATTATTGGTGATTTTAATTCAAAACACCGCTCATGGAATAATGTTCAAAGCAATTCCAATGGTAATATTCTGTTTGATGATTGTTCTGCAGGTTATTACACTATTCAATATCCAAACAGCCCAACATGCTTTTCTTCTGCAAGAAATCCCTCAACTATTGATTTGGTCTTAACTGATTCATGTCATCTTTGTAGCCAATTGGTTACCCATGCTGACTTCGGTTCTGATCACCTTCCAGTAACTTTTGAAATATCCCAAGAAATAATTTCTAATCCCAACAGCTCTACTTTCAATTACCATAGAGCTAATTGGGAGCGGTATCGAACATTTATGGAATATAACTTCGATCCAAACATTCCTTTGCAAACCAAAGATGAAATTAATTATGCTCTTGAATCTCTGACTACTTCTATAGTTGAAGCAAGAGCTGCCTCAGTACCAAAATGCGAGGTTAAATTCGATTCAATTATAATAGACGATGATCTTCAGCTCTTGATCCGTCTTAAAAATGTCCGTAGGAGACAATATCAAAGAACACGTGATCCTGCCATGAAAGTTATCTGGCGGGATTTGCAAAAACAAATTAAAAAGCGATTCTCTGTCCTGAGGAACAAAACTTTTGAAAATAATATTTCTAAATTAGACCCGAGTTCCAAACCCTTTTGGAAACTCACAAAAATTTTGAAAAAACCTCAAAAGCCTATTCCAGCGCTTAAAGAAGGTGGTAAAATTTTGATCACAAATTTGGAAAAAGCTCAGAAACTTGCTAAGCAATTCGAGAGTTCCCATAATTTCAGTTTGGGTCTTACTAGTCCTATTGAGAATCAGGTTGCTGGGGATTTTCTGAATATTTTCTCTCGGGAAAATATTTTTGATGATTCCTGGGGGACTGATTTGGACGAAGTAAGGTCTATAACTAAAAAGTTTCAAAATATGAAAGCTCCAGGTGATGATGGAATTTTCTATATCCTCATCAAAAAACTCCCAGAGAGTACCTTGTCTTTCTTGGTAAAATTATTTAACAGATGTTTCCATTTGGCATACTTTCCTGATAAATGGAAAAATGCAAAAGTTGTTCCAATTTTGAAGCCGGATAAAAATCCAGCTGAAGCTTCTAGCTACCGTCCAATAAGTTTGCTTTCTTCAATAAGTAAACTTTTTGAAAAGATAATTTTGAATAGAATGATGCTTCACATTAATACGAACTCAATTTTTGCAGATGAGCAGTTTGGATTTCGCCATGGGCATTCAACTACTCATCAACTCTTAAGAGTTACCAATTTAATTCGTTCAAACAAATCTGAAGGCCACTCAACTGGAGTTGCTCTTCTAGACATAGAAAAAGCATTCGACAGTGTTTGGCATGAAGGTTTGATTGCTAAATTGAAAAAGTTTAATTTTCCACTTTATATTATGAAATTAGTTCAAAATTATTTAACTGACAGAACTCTGCAGGTAAATTATCAAAATTCCAAATCTAATCGACTACCTGTTAGAGCAGGAGTTCCTCAGGGTAGCATTCTTGGGCCTATATTGTATAACATTTTCACTTCGGACCTCCCTGATTTGCCTCAGGGTTGCCACAAATCTTTGTTCGCTGATGACACAGGCATTTCCGCTAAAGGAAAAAGTCTTCGTGTTATTTGCAGCAGACTGCAGAAAAGTTTAGATATTTTCTCTTCTTATTTACAAAAATGGAAGATTTCTCCCAACGCTTCCAAAACTCAACTTATAATATTTCCACACAAGCCTAGAGCTTCGTTTTTGAAACCTAGTAGTAGTCACATAGTCACTATGAACGGAGTTCCAATTTCCTGGTCAAACCAAGTGAAATATCTTGGATTAATACTTGACCAAAAATTAACTTTTAAAGATCACATTGAGGGCATTCAAGCCAAATGTAACAAATATATTAAATGTTTGTATCCTCTTATAAACAGAAAATCCAAACTTTGCCTGACGAATAAACTTCTAATATTAAAACAAGTTTTTAGACCGGCCATGCTTTACGCTGTGCCAATATGGTCTAGTTGCTGCACTACCAGGAAAAAAGCACTTCAAAGGATTCAGAACAAAATTCTGAAAATGATTTTGAAGTTGCCTCCCTGGTACAGTACAACCGAAGTACATAGAATTTCGAATGTTGAGACTTTAGCACAAATGTCCAACAAAATAATTAATAATTTCAGGCAAAAATCGTTGCAATCCTCAATTGCAACGATTAATTCCCTTTATACTTAGATAAGATTTAGTTTTAGTTTTTAGTTTTAAGATATCAATTGTTATACTGACATGCAGGTTAAAAAACCTGTTTAAAATACTGAATTGCCAAGACATGAACAATGTAAAAACACTTAGATATATATCATAACAATTAAGGCTGGTACGTTACTGCAGTAACTGGAGCACCTAGGTTAAAATGAAATGTAATTTATTTTGAATTTGGAACAAATAAAGAGTTAAAAAAAAAAAAAAAAAGAGGGAGACTAAAAGTTGTCAGGAAAGTGAAATAAATCTTTAATCTTGAGCGGTGAAGTGCTTGTGGAGTTTTTTTCAGTGTGTTACATGCGATCATTCCCTGCCCCTCGTAATTGCAATCGGTAAGCGTGCTGACCCTGAGGCCATTGGAGTCATGGAGTCTCGGAAGTACTCCTGACTGAGGTGGCTGACACTACAAAATATTGCCTCACATTTGCTGCTCTTATAATAATCTTGAATCTTCAACATGGTCCTAAAAATAAGACAATTAATGATGATATTTTGTTTTAATTTTCTATCAAACAAAAAAATTAAAATTTTCAAAAATCATTATATTTCTTTACAAAGTAATTGTAAATCAGCTTCGGTTATTCCAATATAGTTTTACATTCATATAAATTTTGCATGAAATATTAAAATCATTTGTCAAAGTTGTCTGAAAAGCTGCGACCCCCTGAAAGTAGCCCGTGACCCACCGATGGTCAATTGAGAAACGCTGCTAGAACTAGAGAAGTACAACTGCTAACACATGCGTCTAAATCCTTTATGCTATGTCGATTGAACGGATTCCATCAAAACCATCCGATGAAAATCCGTGCTAATCTCAAGCCTGAGCTGATAGGTGAATAGATCAATTTTCCCGTTTTCCCTTCATCGCTCGCTCCCATAAACAATCACCAATGTGTTCTATAACAAACCCAGAGAGAGAGGAGAGCGAAAAGAACGCACTGCGCGATGAGAAGATCGCTTTGGTCTGAGAGAGCGTCGGCGAACGGACGTCCATGATGGTTTCCACAGTCTCTCCCACTCTCCAGTTGGTAGAGCTCACGGAAATTTTCCACCTCTCGATCGCATACCTATCCGTTGGGTAGCAAACCAACCCAGCCTTCGATCGCTCGCTCGCTCGCTCGCTCGCTTGCTTGCTGCATACATGTACGTGGTGGTTATTGGCCGCTTTGGGGGTAGCAGCACGCTCGATACCACTGGCCAAGTTTAGTCGCGTCGCAGCTATCGAAGGATTTGTTCGTGTTTTTCGCCTTGTGCCCTCTGCCATATGCGCTCATTCTGCCGTTGCTGCTGCTGTGTCTCCTCTATCCATATAGTGAGAGAGCAAGAAGGAGCCTGCCTGCCGTTGTTGTAGGTTCGGTTGGTTGATTGGTGTGGAGTCGTGGAGTGCTGCTTCCCCACACAGTCATCGTCGTCAGTCAGTCAGTCAGTCAGTGTCGTGTCGTCGTCGCCGAAGAAAACACTGTGTCAGAGAACCGTGTGCGTCCGAATTGCGCGGCGGGTAGTGTGTACAAAGAAGCAATATATAGAAATCACCTTCAAACACAATAGAGAGCACTCGTCGCGGTTCGCTCGCAAAAAGAAAGAAGTTTTTCGAATGTTGTTTGTCCCAAGATCCTTGCGCGGATTGTGTGTGGCTTGTGTTACGTATATACACAGATAAGGAAGGGTGTGCAGAGTGAGTTTGAATAACACAAATAAAAAGTACCTAGGAAGGAAGATCCATCGAGAGCTAGCAAAAAAAAAAGGACGACGTGAAGAAAGCACTGGAAACCAATTGTCGTAAATTTTAATGTGTTCAGAAGTTTTCGTTCCGGAACGTAACAGGAAATAGTCATTTCCCCAGCCCCACAAACTTGGGGTCCGCCAATCCCATCAATCAAATGCCATTAAAAGTATTTTATCGGGTAGAGGAAAGCTTGAAGTTGGTGTGATTGGAGCAAAACATTGTGACAACAATTACGAAAGATAACCAAGACACGTTGGTAATGAGTGACGAATCCCGTTAGAGAGAAGCTGTTACCAAACGGGGAAACCAAGTGAAGTGCATGGAGGAAATGTGGCTTACGACTTTGTGAAGAATACACACTACTACCTGATAGTGGAGGAGTGAGCGAAATAGCATGCGAAGGATTAACAATCACAAAGGAAGGGTTCAATCGGTGTGGAAGTTATGAGTTTGTGAAATTCTGAGGTTCATTGCTGTTTTAAGTTTTAACCCTTCCCGTCATCTCAGTATATACAAAAAAGAAAAGAAAATATAAATCAATAAAGCCAGTGAATAGTACAAATTTTCGATTTTAGTTTGTATTTAGAGCTATCGATTTTCTCGCCTGTAAGCTATTTATTTATACGACAACAACACCAACAAAAAAAGGAAGAAGAGAACCCACATAAAACCACAAAGTGTGATATATTCAGAGAGAAAACAAAAGGCTCGGATAACGTGAAAAGCAATCAACTGTACCACCAACTTCCCGAATTAGTATTGGATACTCAACACAGCTAAAAATCATCTAAATGGAATTAGCACGTAAAAGGTAATTAGCTTTGATATTTTTGGACCAGTATTATGGTATTCTGCAATGAGGGTCTCGAGGAAAGCTTCGATACCTGCTTCGATATTCCTTCCAAAATGGCTTCGTTTTGGCTTACCCTCGGATTGGAAATCCTGTTCGATTTTCGCACGCACCTCGGAGGAAACCTTTCGATTTTTCGGCAGGTCCCTTCTGGCTTCTCACCAATACAAACACCTCCACAAAGCCGTAGCATTTCTAAATGAATCCCTCGTTCGGTTTCATTTGTCTGCCTGCCTGCCTGCCTGCCTATCGACCGACATCTAATGCCCCACCTCGCTTCCTCTTTCCACCCAGCAGAAGATGATGATAACATGACAATTGCTTTTGGCCTGCAGGCTACCTCGCTCGGAATTGCTCATCCTTTGCGCTCTGTTGGTGGTAGTACGTAGGTAGCTACCCAACCATATAGATAGAGCCGATGGTAGCTGGGTGAGGGATGGAATTGGAGGGATGCTGCTGCGCCCAGCTGTGGTGGGACATCCCGAGAAAGCCAGTAGAACAGTTGATTTATCTTTCCTTTGCTTTTCTGTGCCTTCGGTTGGCTTTACTTGGAAACCAGAGCCTGGCAGGGGCGTGCACCGGGAGAATGGGTCAAACTGGGGGTGGACTTGTTTGAATTTGTTTTAGGGGGAGGGGGGGCAGAGCTCGAATGAATCAGAATATGTAATAAGCTTGTTTTTGTACTAGAGTCGGCTTTTCTTTTTCTTTCTGGAGTTGCCGCTTTGACGCGAGTTTATGCCTGCTCTCAACTTGGTGCTTTTACAAGCACTTGCGCAGTTATTAATTGAGTGCTTATTATGTCAGGCAATGCATGAATTTGTATATTGTGTGGCAAACAAAGTCGATAAAATTTCCAACTCGTTTGATTTTCAGGATCAGAAGGGAAATTGAACCCTCCTTCTCCGGTTATTAACACCGTGCCTTAACTGATTAGGCTGTCTGAAGCCCTACAGGAGTCATTTTTTGAGTTAAATGCTGGAAACACAAACCTTCTAAATTTGTCTGATATCTTTTCTACAGATTTTGTACTTAATCTGCACCATATGTGACATTTCAATACAATTAGTTCGTCTTGACAGAAGGCAGTTAACAACCATGAGAAGCCAAATTAATGTCATCCTATCCATCAGGACATTTTGAGCCTGTCGTTTTTTTAAATTCACTTTAGATCATTGTTCGAAATGGTTTAACCTCACTTTTTGACAGTTCAGGGAGATTGTATACAAGGTGAGAATCTGAAACGAATAAACTTAATTTTTAATTATCGTTTTTCAGAATGAGTGATATTCGATGTTGACACTCGTTTAAAATTAGCACTAGCTAGTGGATGACTTCAGGCTTCAATCCTAATCATTTTAAGATCACAAAAACTCATATCGATGCCACCGAAAAAACCTAAGTCCATGTGTGTTGATGGTGTCATCATGCAATGATTTTTTATTTATTCTGAGAACAGTAATTGTCTAATGATTACTCTCACATCTACCATGGCTTCAAAACATCTTAAATTTTGATGCCTTGCACGATTATGAGCAACTATCGAACTATTGAATCGAACGTTCTTCTCACAGCGAGAAGTGTGGCTTTCCTAAATTGTGTAAACGAGTATTTTTTCTCATTTTGACCACCCAGGATTTCATTATTTTGATTTTAAATTCCCTGCTGAAAACGATGCCGGAATCCGTTCCCAAATCAACTCCTTTCTACCAAAATGCATTTAAGTCAACTTTCTTTCGAGAATTTTGCTGATTTTTTCGACTTTTACTCAGGTGGACATTTCCCACTAACCTAGTTTTTGGCAACTCAAACACGCTAAAAAAACTTACCCATTTGTAGGTACTTGTTGCATGTGGAGCTACCTATTTTTCTAAAAAGATTAGATGCAGGAATCCCCCAAATAGCGCGGTGGGTGGTAATAATAGTACATCAAAAAGTTGGATTGATCATAATGGCATTCTTTGTTTGTATGCATATCAATCCTATTTTCCCATCCATATGGGGCGGTTATGCGATGTATGTGCACTTTTTCGATAAATGAGTTTGTTTTCATTATTCTACTTTATCGACTTCTACTTCACCGACTCTAAAAATAAATAGACAATTATATAAACAAAACTACCATAGGCCAGAGCTTTCACATATCTTTTAAATGGGTCTAATTTGGTATTCGATCATGAACTGTTGGGGTATGCTGCTTCTGGAGTCTTCGTTCGATCTCACTGTGCCACGTTTGTTCTCATATATGTCACAAGTCTTGTTTTCGATGTTTACCTTTCTGAGCAAGCAATTCACATCGCATTGAAATGCAAAATACTTCAAATCCAGCTGTTTTGAACAGTAGTGTGATTCAATGTGCAATACACTTGAGTAGATAGTGAAAGATTTTCAACATTTCAAAGTTTGAAACACTAGAAATTAACGTGTATAATACATTGAAGCAAGGTGAAATACACTTAAAGTAAATGTGATTGTGCATTTAAAAATCAAGTGTTTAAACACTTTGATCAAACGTGTGGAATTTTTTGAGTGCAAAATTTGGGGTTGATCAGGCTGACATAAAAGGTAAAATACTAAAAAATAATTCCAAAAAATGCATGTAAAATACTTTTTAAATAACAAAAAAATATGTTTGGATACAAAGAATACATGTGTGGTATTTTATAGGTATTTAAATTGTTGAATTTGGTATTGGAATGGTATTATGGGAACTTGTTTTTTTGGTATTACTTGTGTGTCTTTTATATGTTTTTAAGCTTCTGCAGCGAGCGTTTTTCAACTAGCAACTATCTGCACTTTGAAAGCTATTAATTGAGAGCCAACTAAAGCATGAATTTTTGTATTTGCCACACAATATTGCACAATTATATTCTAAGCCCAGGAAAGACGCGAGAAAATTTTCAAGACGAAAAATTTCCTCGACCGGACCAGGAATCGATCCCCGGCTTTGTGATACCGACTAGGCTATCTGAAGTCTCAATAATAGTAATTACATAGTTGACAAATCTTGCAGAATCAGAGGCTTTTTATTGGTGCTCATTTCGAGAGAACCCAAAGAAACCCAATGAATATTCTATTGATTCTGCCGACAAACAAACGCCATCTTACGGTTACTGAGGCACTATGAGCGTCATTCATCATCTATCTGTTCTTCTTCTTCTTCTTCTTCTTCTTCTTCTTCTTCTTCTTCTTCTTCTTCTTCTTCTTCTTCTTCGCATTTCAAGCTTATTGCATATCGCATATTAGCTTATTGTGTGCTCTCAACTTAGTGTTCTACTAGATGCACTTCCACAGTTATTAATTGAGAGCTTTCGATGCCTGTACCATTTTTGCATTGGTATAATTGTGTGGCAAGTCCAATCATACTTATATGCCCAGGGAAGTCGAGAAAATTTCCAACCCGAAAAATTCCTAGACTGGAACGGGAATCGAACCCAGCCACCTCCAGCATGATCTTGCTTTGTAGCTGCGCCTTTACCGACTGAGCTAAGGGAGGCCCCGCTATCGGTATATGTGTATTTACACAGTCAGTTCACTGCCTGACTGTGGGAAGCAGAATCTCTTCACTATAGGAAATATAGACTACATTTGGAAAGTTTCAGGAACATTCAATTCTTTTCTAATGTTATTTACGTTCTCCCATTTCCATTCTACTGTGGAGTGCTAAGAATCATTCATTGATTTTGACAGGTGCAAAAAACTAGGCATCTAACCAAAATCATACGAGTTCAAATAATGTCCAAAAAATTACCTACCAGACAGGTCTAACTTAAAACGTAAACAATGACTCTGTACGTCACTTTCACTCGAATATAATTTTTTGAAAAATCATCAAACTTGATAAAACAGTAGGTTTTAGGCATCCCGACTTGGTTTGAAATTTCAATATTTACAAGCAAAACGGGGTGAAATGAGCCATCATGTCCATTGAGACACCAGGAGCCAGCTTTTAATAAAAGGGATCAGCAGAAGCACTTGTCGTTAGAAATGTCACGACTATATTACTCAAATCTAATCAACGTCAATTTATACGTACTGTTAGATTTCATCGGAAAACATCGTAGCACCACCATTCTGCTGAAATCAGTAAACAACTTGTTAGCACATTCAACGAGTCATATCCTGATTTCGCAAGAAACCCCTGGGTCATCATCATCATCACCCACGACGTCATCGTCATCTAGCAGTCGCACAGCTACTCATCTGTTCCCTCAAGATATTACATTCGCACATGGCAATGTCGCGACCTGTACATGTGCATCTACAAACCCCCATCGCATCACGTCCTTCGCCAAGCACGTTCACCCGTCGCCGTCGTCGTCGCTCCAGTCATCAAACGGAACGTCACAATCAAACAAAAAATGAACGATACGAGAATACTATAAAGGCAGCCAACACCACCATCAACTAGGCGCACACGGCTAAGTATGCGGCATATCGGAAAGAACTTCCATGTGCGCCCTCGCTCACTTGATGGAACTTGGAGACGATGACACCGACTCGACGACGGACGGAATTGCCTTGATATTGGTCGTCGGCTGCTGCTGCTGCTGCTGTCATTGTCCGGCCTAGTTCAGACACTCGAACAGAAGCAGATGAGCACCGGTAAAGAGTATATTGCCGATCACTGCTCGATCATGCACACGCGGAAGAGACCACTACTGTGTGCGGAAACAAAGGATGGATCTGTGTGTTTATATATTTGAATAAAGAACCTGCAGAATGAAGAACACAAAAAAAAGCCGACCGTGAGCTATCGAGATGATCGTCGGGTGCCGTACCAATCAAGGTCCAATGTCTGGCGAGGTAACCGTGAAAGATGAAAGGGCTATGAAAGCTGGGGGTAATTGGAACTTGTATCACTGTGTTTGGTGGGTCGAAGAAAGTATCCTTTGTTGGAAGAAAATGGAAGAATGGGTCCTTGATGAAAATTCGTTTTCGCTTCTCGTGAAAATTTTGAAGGA